TTCCTGGGATAAAGCCCACTTGGTCATGGTGTATGATTTTTTTAATATGTTGTTGGATTCTGTTTGCTAGAATTTTGTTAAGGATTTTTGCATCTATGTTCATCAGTGATATTGGCCTGTAGTTTTCTTTTTTTGTGGCATCTTTGTCTGGTTTTGGAATTAGGGTGATGGTGGCCTTATAGAATGAGTTTGGAAGTTTACCTTCTGCAGAATTTTTAAATCTAGAGAGGAATCTAGGGATCATCTAGTGCTATTATTTTGTTTTATTTTTTTCTTTTCTTTTTTCTTTTTTGTCTTTAGTGCTATTATTTTATGGGAGAGAAGCCCAAGACCCAAGGACATGTCCAAGATTATTTGGTAAATGGTTGAACTAAGGCTAGTCTTCTGAATTCCATTGTTCTTCCCATGTTGCAATTCATTGAATAATTACTACTTTTATCACATAGCCGTTTAAAGTGTATGCGTGTTTCATTTCTTAAAGAGATTCACTCTCAGAGTGAAGAACATTTTTCACTGGTAAGGTGATATACATCCTTCAGGATTGATTTTGATTAAAGCCATCACTGTGGTTCTGTCCACTAAGAGAATTGTGATGGATTTCCTACTTATTTCTTAGTAACTGTTTTCTATACACCAGGCCCATATTTTATGACTATAGACAAATGAATAAGAGCAAATACCAGAGTAGTGAATAATTCATGTCAAGCACTGTGAACTGCTGACAGCATCACCAAAACGTAAAAATATATTGTTGGGCTTTTCCCTTGCTGGAAAGTTATGCTTATGTGCCTTTGGGTTCCTTCACTCAGTTTCCATGAGGATCTAACATTCCACAGTAAAAGATTTATTCATAGGATCATAAAACTTTAGAGTTAGAATGCAGTATGTTGATTCTTAGTTCTTTGAGTCTTTCTCCTAATAATGGCCTTTTAAAATTGACATATACCTAAGAGAATTAACCTAGTAAGCTAATTCATTGTAACATTTTAATGACTTAACTTATTATATTTCTTCTTACTGGATAGTCCCAAGACCTATTAAAGAATGTGAAAGAATAATGTTAGGAGGAAGGGCAAGTAACATTTCATGAAGGTTCTTAAGAAAATGAGATGGGAGAGATAAACTCATTCCTGAACTCAGAGCTTTGGATGGACCAGTCCTGCATATTGACTGTTGTCATTGCTGATAGTCACATATGATGTAACTGTGGGAGTAATTAGTGGAGAAAGCTCTTATACCCCTGTTAAAAGTACTCTTTACTTAAGAACATGATTGCCGTTGATCCTTGAATAATGGTGAGAGTTAGGGACCAACCCAGAGCAATTGAATATCCTCACATAACTTTACAGTAAGTTCTTTGTTAGCCACAGTTCTGCATCAGTGGATTCAACCAACCTCTATAGATGGTGTATCACTGTAGTATGCATTTAGTGAGAGAAAAAACAACTCAAGTATAAGTGGTCCCATAAATTGCAAACCTGTTTTTCAAAGGTCAGCTTTAATTTATAGTTCTTGAAATTCCTTGAAATTTAAAGAGGAGTGAAGAGTTGAGAAACAAAATTTTGGTGAAATGAAAGTATTTATCAACAGAGATGTTCAGTCAATTCCTCATCCTTTGCCCCAGTGTAGAAGCCCTGGCCATGACTGCAGGGGGCATCTGTATTCCTCCTCCTTCTGGCCCTTGCAGTACTAATTTCATAATATAAGACTTTCCCTCCTATCCAAAGCTAGAAAGTAAACTGAAGGTAGTCTCTAATGTCTTGGAAAATCACTATACACACAGTCAACAAGCTTTCCTTTTCAATTCCCATTATCTCTTGGTGGTTTCTGGATCTCCATATTCTAGTTTTCTAATTCCTGCCTGCTTCCCATGGGAATCCTTCCTGACTCAGCCACTCACAAGCATTTGTTTTACTCTCCATCATAATTCAGAGTATCTTCATTTCTGCTGAGGCTGAGCTACCAAGACCCTAGTGCTCCTGCAATAGGACTTAGAGACTATTGCTTCCTGGGTTAGAGTGAAACAGTTGGCCATTTGAAGTTTTCCATGGTTAATTTTTCTTGCCGAAGAATGCTACTCTGAGGATATTTTAATTCATCTATGGAGTGATTAAACAGCTCAAAGAAAATGGAAGCAGAAAGAGGGATCATGTTTATGAGCATAAATGTCTGTTTGTAGAGCTAGTCTGGCAGGAAGCTTTGTGAAAGTGGTTTTGAAATGCATGCTGACAACAAGCAGACTTATGCTTCCGCCTAAGGACCGAATCTGGAACCTGTGAGGAAAATCAAGGAATTTCCAGTTCGTTTGGCAGTATGTTCTCATCATTGCTCTTAGTTTCTTAATTAACAGCTGTCTCTGGCCTAGTTCTTTCAGAATCCATCCTGGCCTGAATCCTCATTTGTGTGCTGTTGGCCAGGAGGCAGAGGATGTGATTCTTTAGCATCATGTGCTTGTAATTTAGTAACAGTAATGTCATGCCTTGTAAGTGTGAGGTACTTGATAGTTTGTACAACTCATTCACACTTATTTTCTAAAATTTTTTCCTCATGATCTAACTTTTGGGCTTCATGGCAACCTGCTGTTGTCTTCATTTTACAGATGAAAAATCTGAGCAGAGAGAACTTATGTTACATAGCTAGTAAGTAATAGAATTAGGATAACTACAGATAATTATGAAGCAAAATGTATGTTTTTGTGATACTTACAGTCTGTTCCTTTCTCTTCAAAACATTTGTTGGTTCTGAGATTGATCTCCATAGGTGGGGTATTCGAAGTTGACCAGAAAAGGCTTCAAGGAAGAAACAGTTTGTCTAGAGTGAATACCAAGAATTGGAATTGCCCTGGTATTTACAGTTATAATAAACACTGCCAGACTGCCTCCAGAGAGGCTGTGCCATAATGAACCCTCTCACCCAGTGGTATGAAAGAATCTATCAAAACTTTTAAAATGTTTGCAAAACTGATAGGCAAAGAATAACATCTTAATTTACTTTCTCCTGACCATAGGTGAAGCTGAGAGTCTTCTCATATGTTTTTTATGTTGGTGGTGGTGGTTTAGCTGCTAAGTTGTATCTGACTCTTGTTACCCCATGGATTGCAACCCTCTGTCCATAGGATTTCCCGGGCAAAAATACTGGAGTGGCTTGCCATTTCCTTTTCCCTGTTATGATATGTTAGCCACTTGGATTTGCTCTTCTGAGAATTTCTTGATTATATTCTTTCCCCATTTTCTATTGGGCTATTGCATCTTTACATTTTCTAGATATTTAATTCTTTGTCTATTCTGTATGTTGTGAATATATGTTCTCCAAATCTGTCACTTGTACTTATTTATGTAAATAAAAGGTAATAGAAGTAGAGAAATGAGGCTATTCATCAAAAAGAAATGCTTACTATGCCAGTTTAATGCAAATGTTAAAAAAAGAGAAAACTTAAAAAGTGGAATTTTAAATTAAAACCTGAAGAATGGGCAGATTTTAGAGATAATTAGGAAAGCAGTATTAAAAAAAAAAAAAAGAAAGAAAATCAAATGTAAATTCCTGAACTGTTAAGAAGATGGACCTGGCAGAATTGGAGAACTCCTCACTGCATTATAATGGGGATGAAATTCAATAAATAGGTTTTGCTTAAAGTAAAGGACCTTAAATGCCAGAGTGAAAATTTTGGAATTCGTCCTGTAAGAATTTGTTAATTGAAGCATGATATCCAGTCAATATTTTGAAAAAAATTTAACCTGACAATAGGGTGTAAGATGACTTGAAGACAAGAAGAAATGTAAGTTAGAGGTACCCACTGGTACCAAAGCTGAATTAAGCTGGAGATGAAAAGGAACGGCATATTTGAAGAGATGTTTTAAAGCAAAAAATGCCAGGTCTTGGTGATGACTGGACACCCTGAAGATGACAATTGGCTGAGAAAATGGTGATGTCTTAGGCTTCTTGGGAAGGAAAACTGAGCTTTGGTGGAGAAATGACATTAAATCCTGGAAATTTGCCAAAAAGCTGTTCATCTCCAAATTTTCTCAGTTGACATCTCAGATGACCCATTTTCTGCAGATGACATCTCCTGGGGTGTTTTCCTGGTTATGGGGATGATAAAGAACATGTACGTCCCCAGGACAACCCTGGATTCAGAAGTTCTGCCTATAGGAAAGTGCAAGGGTCTCTCATGAAGACCATTAAGGGAGCAAAGGAAAAATGCTGCCAAAGAGGCAGCTTTGAACCACCCTGGTGGTTTCACTCTAGCAATTAATTGTTTTTTCCTCACCAATTAAATGAGTCACATATGAATGCAAATGCAACTGAGTGCACTCAAAAGCTGTTAATTTTTTTTAAAAAAGTAGTGCTAGTACTAACTTCTTTCTTTTTCTTTTTTTTAAAATTTTTATTGGAGTGTAGTTGACTTACAATGTGTTAGTTTCAGGCGTACAGCAAAGTGAATCAGATATGTTGCTAAGTCAATATATATGAAGTATACACACACACACACACACACACACATATACATCCATTCTTTTTCAGATGTTTTTCCCATGTAAGTATTAGCTTACATATAAAAACTATTTTAAGATTTGGCATGCTTTGTATTGGGCATGTAGTACTTTTTATTTATGATGTTGTCTGATTTTTCTAAGATGATTTGACACTAATTCATTGTTTCTTCAAAATGTTTCCAGTAACATTTTCCTTAAACATAATCGTGGTGCACAGGCAATGAGATAACTGAAATCAGTGGACTTGAGCTGTGTAGCAGTCTTACCTACCTTAGTCTGGCCAACAACAAGATCACAACCATCAATGGCTTAGGCATGTTACCAATCAAAATACTTTGCCTGGTGAGTCTACCAAAAGTGTTATTCTCTATAGAAGTACTAATTAATGTCTTAGTAAATATATGAATGATAGCTGGGATTTTTCAGTTTTATAAAGAGCTAGTTTCTTTATGAAATGTCATGATCTTCAGTTTTGTTTGTTCCTTTTCATATCTGGTTGGTTTATGTGTGTTTGATGAATATTTGATGCTAATGTAAAATGATTTTCTAATTTGGTATACAAATTCCATCTTTTAAAAGACTGACTTTACCACTAAGAAAGAGAGGCATACTTTTAGCACCTGTTAAGAATATATTTATAATGTCTTATTAATGCAAAAATATTTAAAGATATTTAAGCATAGTATTTGGACTTCCCTGCTGACTGAGCGGTAAAGAATCCACCTGCCAATGCAAGAGACGCAGGTTTGATCCCTGGGTCGGGAAGATCCCCTGGAGAAGGAAATGGCAACACACTCCAGCGTTCTTGCCTGGGAAATGCCATGAACAGAGGAACTTGGCAGGCTACCGTTTATGGGGTTGCAGAGTCGGAAATGATTTAGTGACTAAACAACACGAAGAAGTGTAATATTTATTGCAGTTAAAACTTCATTGCAACAAAAGACCTTCATTACTTTCAAGTGAAACACTGGGCACTGAATTTTGGCAGTCCTTTTATATCACTGTATGCTAGTCTCCCATTCTAGAAAACCAGAATTATGAATAAATTTATTCATAATTTATCATGAATGAATAAATAAATAAAGTTCATTTATTCTCTCTGGCTGAGAATAAATGAAGAATTCCCTTCAGAAAGTTTACATTTTAAATTTTTTCCCCATGAAGAGCACTATCCTTAAGCTATATGACATGCTCTGTGACTATGACTGAATGAAAACAGACAACTTACTTAAAAATCAGCAGGATCATATTAGTTCCAACTATATATACAGTATTTTTGAAGTAATAGTCTAGCTCACTAGTTTGGGGGCTGATAAAGTAGTTTGTGGATGATCTAGGAGTCTTTTTTCTTCCTTCTTCCCTTTGGATGGCTTTTCTATTCTTCATTTTATCTGTCACAGGATAGGCAGGGATTTTAAGCCATGAGACTAGTAATTTATTAATTTCTTATGTTAACTATCCCACAGAAGATTCTTGAACTGTTGTTTAAGATGACATCTTGGGTTACCTGCAGATTTTTTACAGATATGATGCATTATTTCTGTCTTGTTTAACCACAGACAGCTGATGGTTGGCTATGTGTTAATTTTTCTTTCCCTGAGCTTGAAGCCTGAAGTGCTTTTTCCAAGACTCTTCACTCCTTATGGTGAATTAGATGAGGGCAAACTACTGATTGCCAGTAGAGGTGTGATAAAGTTTAATTATTCCCCTGAAGTTTCGTGTTTTCTGTCCACTAAGGCACAGTGGCAAAGCTGTAAAGGAAAATGACTTCAGCAAGTCAAATTGCAAATTTAAAAATTATAAAAGAAAGTCACATTTAAAAATTATGATAATTTGAAGGATTCTTGGCAGTATGTTCTATTCAATGTGCAGCTTGTTACAACTTTATCCTTTTCTTTATGTATCTTTTTACATTGCATTCCTGTTGACTTTAAGTAAAGCATGGTATGTGGACAGAGATATGGAGCTGTGGCCAAGGGAATGAGAATTCAACTCGTTAAGAATAACAACACATAACACTTTTATCCTAAGACCTTGTTTCAGTAACTGAATAAGTAAACTGTATTGACAGTTTCATCTCAAGCAGCTTTTAGAAAAAGCATAAAAAACTTACTTTTCCTACAAGTAGATTAGATGGATTGTTCCCATTCCCTTTCCCATTATCCAAGATTAACTAGAAAACACAGAATTTTCCATCATTCATTTTCCTTAAAATTTTTGAGAATGGTAAAGCTTTTTTCCCATATATCAATAAAATACATAAAATGAGACTCATTTGTTTCAATAGTTTTTCATGCTTTTTTAAAAAATTGTGATATCAGTAAAACAATTGTACTGCTGAAAGTAATTCACTTTATTGAGATAAATTCAGAGGCGAAAAAAGAGACATTCACTGTACAAACCAATTGTTAATTCCCTACCATCAACTTTTACAATAAATATTAAGGGAAAATGTGGTTCACTCATGGTCTGTTCTGCTAGCCACCTCCTTTAGCAAGTAAGGACAATCCATTCCAAACTTCAAAAAATCATGTGTCTCAGTAAAAGTCATTTGTTTTTTTTTCCCCTCCCTACTTGGGACATTGAGACTACTTCTCATTTTACTTATTTAATGAAATAGTTTCTCTCTAACTGCCCCCTTTTCCCTGCTCAACATGATGAAACATGCAAGAACTATTCTTGCAGAAACTGGCATGCACTTTGAGAAGTATCAGTTTTTCATCTTTAGATAAAAGATTTGACTAGATGACTTTCAACTCAAATTCTGATTTGACATATTTCTCAAGTTCTGCTTTCTTTTATGACCATAGACTATCTAATTAAACATTTCTATGCCTTACTCTGCTATTGAGCATCTACCACTTTGAAAGCCATCAGAAACGCACTAAAAAAGAATTACAGTTTATCTTCCACATCTATGGCACATCAAACGTCTTTAGGAAGAAGTGTATTATGTATAAATTTGATATGTGGGCATATTTTAAATAGGATATTGAGGTCCTATTTCAATAAGTTAAATTAATATGAATATTATGTTCAGTGTAGTTTTTTCCTTCCCTTTTTCTATTACTCCTTCTGAACTTTTTTGAACAGTAGGAAATCTGACTTAGGCAAATGGGGCCATTAGTATTCTTCCTTCTCATTATGGAATTTTTCAGACATATACAAAAATAAAGGGAATAGTTTAATGAATCCCCATGTACTATCATCCAGCTTTATAGATTATCAACATTTTATTAATATATTTTAAAGAACCATAAAATTATATTAATGGATATAAATCTTGTTCATTATTGAAGTGAAAGCTTATGAAAAATTGGGTGAAAATGAGCTCTTACTATTAAATGTATCAGGAAACATGTACCAGGAAAAATATTATAGATGGTAGAGAATACTATAATTTTTTAGTTATAAAGTTCTCAGTAAAAGTTTTAAAAGTTTAAGGATGGGTATAACATGGCTTTAATTGAAACCTCAAAATTACTCTTTTTTGTGATTCTCAACTCAGAGTTTAGCTTTACTGGGACATATTCTTACGCTTCAAAGACTAATGAGCCCAAGGAATATTGCATGTGTTGGGAAATGTACAAGAAAATGCAAATTGTTGTTACCACCATAATTTGTATTATGGATTCATGGGGATTGGAAAAGAGAACAACATTTAAGTTTTATTCTTTCTCTGTTTCATGGTATTGTCTAAGAAGATGTTTATGTGTGAATTATTTAAGAACTTAGTTTGTGTATGTGTTGTTGTAAAACATGCCACCCCAAAATGTAGTGGTGTTGACAAATTCTATGAGTGAACCATTTTGTTATTTTGCAGTTCTGTAATCTGAGCTAGGCTCAGCTGGGTGGCTCTGCTGGTCTTGCCATGTCCAGCTAGCAGGTTGACTGGGGGCTGGGCTCAGCTGAGATGCTGCAATAGCTGAGTTTCTTCTCTCTCTCTAGTCTCAGGGCTCCTCTCTGTGTAACATCTCCACAGATTCTTTCTAGAGGAGCTAGAGTTCTTACAAGGCAGCTCAGGGCTCCAAGACACAAAAGGAGCCACTGCCAGGCCTTTTTAAGTCTTAGATTTGTAACTAGGACACTTCTGCCATATTCTTTGGGTTAAGGCAGGTCATAGGTGCAGCCTGGATTCAAGAGGAGAGAAAGGTACCAAGAGCATGAATAAGCAGAAGCACATATCAGACTACCACAGACCTTGTGATATGAAGTGATTATATTCAGAATATTTCTGAAATCAGAGTAGATGTGGGAGTTGTAGTATTCAAGTGGTTTGTTAAAATGGCCATGAATTGTGTTAAATTTATATTTCTAAAGAGAAGCATGGAGTCATGCCACCATTAGGCTTGAGGTTAGCAATGTCCAAATTTTATACTACCTAGCTTTTGTCTTTCCTATTGAACAATGTTCCTATGAACGTTCATCTGCTTATCTCTAGCAAAAAATATTATGTTCTGAGTCTTCCAGCTAAAATACCGTGATTTCTTTCTATGATGTATATATATATGTGTTTAGAAAGGTGAATGATGGGAATAGAGTGAGACAAGAATGTTTTACTGATTTAGAGGTTTGAGGCAGTACCCAGAATGAAAACTTGTCACTGCAGTTTTCTCTTTAGGACATTAAGTGTATTTTATCTATTTTAGAGCAATAACCAGATTGAGAAGATCACAGGTTTGGATGACCTAAGAGTCCTGCAGATCCTCGATCTGAGCCAGAATCAGATCAGCAGCCTCCAAGGCTTAGAGGGTCATGATTTCTTGGAAGTGATCAACCTCGAGGATAATAAGGTAATGTCATACTTTACATGTCTTGGTTTTAGTGTCTTCATAAGAGGACATAATAGGATCCATTATTAATGTCTCAAGTGCTATCACATTCAATGACAGCTCAGAAATATTCTAGAAAACCTCCTGGAGCAATAGGTGAAGGACTTTTTTTTTTTTTTTAATAAATAGTGATTCTTAGCTTTTAAACATGCCTAATTTCATTATTTTGAAGGTTTAAACTGCAACCAAGTGCATATGACTTTATGAAGTAGATATGTTCATGTGAAATTTGGGGTAGAAAGATTGCATTAGGAATGTCTGACGTGTCAGAGCAGGGAAACTGGAGCCAAGAGAATAGCCTCAGGCTGGTGTTGCCTCCATTTAATGAGAAGAGACACTGGAAGTGAATTCTCATATCCTATTTGTAACAATAGCCTATGTTTGCAACGTGGCTAAATTTGGAGACTGAACTTATTTAAATTTCCATTCTGGCTTATTGCGCACATTACTTCACAAATTTTATCAATTGGCTTTCACTCTGAATTATATTTTATTTTTAATAAAGCATGTGTGCTCCTAATAATGATATATTCAGTTGGTACCTGTAGCTCACTTCTTCTGCAATAAGGTCTATATTGTAATTTTATTCATCTTGAGTACTTTGTTGTATTTTTGGGAAAGATCTCACAAGTAAGTTCATTATTTACTTCTTGAAAATGAAGAGTCTGGCTGATCCTAAAAGAAACATAGAGACTATCTGGGTTAAGATGCATTTCTGAGGAGACGTTTCTCTGTTCAGCCGTGACGGTGCTCATTAGCTGGATCCAATGACTCTTTCTCCAGTGAGCTTCCATTAGCTGTTATATTTCTAAAAATCAAAAAAAGACAGTCTTTAGGTCTGGCAAGAGTGGATTTTTAATAACAGGAAAAACTGTTCCTCCTCATTTTCATGTGACTTGCATATTAAATTGTCAGCTTCTAAGATTAACTTGTTTGTTCACTGTCACATTGTCTTATGAAGTCATAGACTTCATGAAGTTAATAGACTTAAGAAGTCATAAGACCTAAGATGTCATAAGACCAGCTTCCAAATCTCTTCATATGGTTTTGTGGTTGTTCAGTCACTCAGTCGTGTCCAACTTTGCAACCCCGTGGACTGCAGCACGCCAGGCTTCCCTGTCCTTAACCATCTCCTGGAGCTTGCTCAAACTCATGACCATCAAGTTAGTGGTGCACCCCAACCATCTCTTCCTCTGTCATCCCCCTCTCCTCCTGCCTTCAATCTTTCCCAGCATCGGGTCTTTTCCAGTGAGTGAGTTGTTTGCATCAAGTGGCCATAGAATTGGAGTTTCAGCTTCAACATCAGTCCTTCCAATGAACACTCAGGACTGATCTCCTTTAGGATGGACTGGTTGGATCTCCTTGCAGTCCAAGGGACTCTCAAGAGTCTTCTCCAACACCACATTCAAACGTATTAATTCTTCAGTGCTCAGCGTTCTTTATAGTGCAACTCTCACATCCACACATGACTACTGGAAAAAACATAGCTTTGACTAGATGGACCTTTGTTGGCAAAGTAATGTCTCTGCTTTTTTAATATGCTGTCTAGTTTGGTCATAGCTTTTCTTGCAAGGAGAAAGCATCTTTTAATTTCATGGCTGCATTCACCATCTGCTGTGATTTTGGAGCCCTCCAAAATAAAGTCTGTCAATGTTTCCATTGTTTCCCCATCTATTTGCCATGAAGTGATGGGACCAGATGCCATGATCTTGGTTGTTTTAATGTTGAGCTTTAAGCCAGTTTTTCACTCTCCTCTTTCATCTTCATCTAGCAGCTCTTTAGTTCCTCTTTGCTTTCTGCCATAAGGGTGATGTCATCTGCGTATCTGAGGTTATTAATATTTCTCCTGGCAGTCTTGATTCTAGCTTGTGCTTCATCCAGCCTGGCATTTCAAATGATGTACTCTGCATATAAGTTAAATAATCAGGGTGACAATATACAGCCTTGATGTACTCCTTTCCCAATTTTGAACCAGTCCATTATTCCATGTCTGGTTCTAACTGTTGCTTCTTGACCTACATAATGGTTTCTCAGGGGGCAGGTAAGGTGGTCTGGTATTCCCATCTTTTTAAGAATTTTCCACAGTTTGTTGTGATCTACACAGCCGAAGAATTGTTGCTTTCAAACTGTGCTGTTGGAGAAGACTCTTGAGAGTCTTCTCAAGAGTTATTATAACTCATGAATGTACAGTTTAGCAAAGAGTTTTCAGGTGAATAGTCATGTAACATTGACATCAAGAAATATGTCATACAGCTTGCCATTTTTATCTTTTCTTAAAACAGTGACCTCATTGAAAAAATGATAGAGCTACATGCAGTAGGAAGGCTTCCCCAGTCACAAAGAACCACAATAACCAGCAGAAGCAGTGGTGGGGAGGGGGACTGGGGAACTGGGGGCTGGACAGGATGAGTGATGGGGAGAGTCATGTAGCCCATGCATGCCTTTTTTGTATTTTCTCTGTTTCTCCATACTATTTTATTCTTGCCTTAAATATGGATGAGATGAGGAACATCTCTCTATCTCACTGTTCCCTATCCAGAGGGGAGAAAATAAAATGTGGCTGTGAGTTTACGCAGTAATTCCATTGTTCTGTGTGACTTTATGGAATTCTCATTGAAAAGCTAGATATTCACAAGAGCAGTTTTTAAAATAAGTTGAGCTTAAAGGATCCAAATTAGCTGCTCTTATATTATGTTCTCTGTTGTCTTGGCACATTCAGCCTGTTGATAATATTGTCTATGTGTGTGTGTCTTTGTTTTTCGGTTAAACAGATTGCTGAGCTGGATGAAATAGAATACATTGAAAACCTACCTCTCCTTCGAGTTCTCAATCTCCTAAGAAATCCAATTCGGGTGAGATGTCCTTTGTTTTGGGGGTGGGGGGTAGGGATGAGAAACATTCTTGGAATTCTTCTTTATGAAATACTTTTGATAGAACATGAAGAATGTGAATACAGTGTGTTTATCACCATTCTCTATTAGAAGGGTAAGCAAAGTCACACCCGTGCTCCACCATAGGTGCAGGTAAAGCCTAAAATTGAATATTAGTTGTCTACTCTGTATGACCATTTGTGACTCATCCAGGTGGTAATAAAGATTATCAAGAGGGAGCTATTGAGATTATAGAGCAATGTCTTTTTAGTGTAAGAATGCCTGAGGTATAGATGGAATGTGGCTCCTATTTTATATATGGGAGAAGTCTAAGATTAGACACCTAAAGAAATTCTCCTGGGGGTTGCTGTAAAACTGGCATTGTAAAATGATTATAGGAAAAAATCATATATTTCCTAGTGATTCTTCACCTTTGGATATCAAATACCCAGATTTTTCCTTTTTTCTGGATCCTCTCTTTTTTGTCCCCAATGATAGATCCATTCTGCTCAACTCTGTCCCTCCCTCTCTGTGCAAATGTCATTCATTCCCCTTTGAATCTATATCCTTCACTCACTTTGCCATAGATTCTTGAATTTGTGTGTATCTCTGAGTACCTTTCTTTGTGCGTGTGTGTCTTGAGAAGCATAACTAGGCAGGCAAAAAATCAAAATGAAAAGTACGGTCTGAAAGTAAAAACAATGCTTGGTATGGGAATAGTGGCAGACAATTTAAAAGCATCCTCTGGAAAGAAAGGGGTTTAAAGTGGCCATCCCTCCCAGTTCCAGACCCATAAAGAGCATCCAGGTGTTTGCATAAATAGATAGCACAAACCCTTTCACACATGTCACCTCATTTATTTATAAACCCCTCCCACATATGCACTTTGAAGTACACAAAAGATGCCATTATATATTCATTTCGTGTGTATTCTCATCTACAAAATGCATCACCCACTTAATATCTTTCCCTTCAAAGAGGCGTAGCTTCTTGATACAACATAACTAATTATATTTCTAAAAAGCAGATAATCCTAACAAAGCAGATGATAGAGTATTAAGGGAATTGTTCTATAAATGAATATCATTTTATTATTGTAAAACAAGTTCATAATTAATGATACAAATTTAATATAAAGCAACACAAAGAAATAATGAATTAATAATAAAGACTACTACTCTTATCGTAATGAAACTCCTTTAAGTTAGCAGATAGGGTTTCAATCACTGGCCATGAAACATTAGATGAAATACTTCACCTCCCAAGCCTTAGGTGTTTTTCTCTTTAGAGATGAAGATAATCAGGTTTGTCCTGCTTATCTCACAGGGAGATTAACAAGATCACACATTTGAAAGGCTTTATAAGTTACAAGGCAGAGTCTGCATTTGAGTTGTTAATATAAGGGGACTGCAATTGTGAAAATGTAAAGACTTTGTGTGTGTGTGAATGACAGCATTAGTGGGTAAAAGGCCTTGGCTCATGAAAGCATATTGCTACTGCTTATTAATTTGGGAAAAGGAAGGTAACAAAATAAGCCTCTTGATATTTTAAACAGGAAAAACCTGACTATTGGTCCTTCGTCATTTTTATGCTACTTCGATTAACAGAATTGGATCAGAAGAAGATTAAAGTGGACGAAAAGGTATGTAGTCATATTTCATGTGTTTATGAGTTGATAGGTCAAAAGCTCATGCCGCCTGCTGCAGGACCATTGCAATCCAGAAATGAGCATATGACAGTATGCTCATTCATTATTTATTTAAGGAGCATTTCCTTGTCCTAGAGTCTAGTTATTTAACCCTCTGCAGAGCTAAGCGTCAACACAAACGCAGTGAAAGCCCTGTTTTTGGTACAGTAAGGAGACTGGCCATGGGAGACACAAGCAGCCTTTGTGTATCTAGGCTGGCAGCTGTAAGGCTGACTATAAGTTTGGAAAATTATCATATGTGGAGGGTGTGTGATTCTGTGTTTCTCTAAATCTTCACTTAATAATGAAATGAATTACAATGTCACTCTACCACATCACTGTAAAGGACTCAAATCACTACTCTGGTATTTTAAATCCTTTATTCTCCATCTTAAGATAATGATTCTTTTCTGGACACATAACTTGAGAGTAACCAGACCTTGAATGCTAGTACCTGCCTCCCCACACCATACCTGTGGTAGCCAATTTGTCATGCTGTCCTGACAGGTGTCAGCTGAAATCTCCTCTAATGAGGGGTTTCTTACACCCGATGCAAATTTGAGATGGGAGTGAAAAAGCAGGTATAAATATTCAGAGAGGCAGATATATTCCAGTTCATAAATGCCTTTCTGAAATCTTGGTTAAAAATAGTTATAGATGCTGGTCTGTTATTATTCTCACACTCAGAGTCGCTTATTAGATTTCTCTTTCCCTTTAATGTTTTGCAAAGGGAATAACATTTAAAAACACACATTAGATAAAGATGTGGTAGACAAGCATACTGTATTTAGAGTGATGGCAAAGCCGGGGGACAGACAACTGTCTGTCATGAGGAAAAGGCCCATATCTTTGAAAAGGGAAAGTTATATTAAAAGGGGAGGAGGTTTAGTAAAATTTGAGATAATAGGAATAGTTCTTGGTATGATGGCAGGAGGAAAACTTCTACAAAAACAGCTACTTGGAATCTAGAACTAAGAATTTTATTACTTCTTCTCTTACTAAAAGTTGAAACATTTACTGTACTAAAGGTAATCTTAGACTTTAGAGGTCTTGTTTTGGGTTTTTTTTTGCTTTTTCCCTCCCAAACCAGAAAATACAAAGAAATAGGTGATCAAGGGACTCCAGTTCAATATTTTAAAATAATTATCATTCTTTAGACATGAAGACAGAACACAGATTCCTGGTTGCATGTCTAGAACATTTCAGTAAAGAAAGGCTTATCTTTCTTGTACAATGAATTTTTTTTCCCCTTTGCATTTCTAATTCTGGAAAAGATCTCGGCCGTGAATAAATACAACCCTCCCCCGGAAGTGGTCGCGGCCCAAGACCACATGACCCATGTGGTCAACAGCGTGATGCAGCCACAGAGGATCTTTGACAGGTATTCTGAGAGACGCCTTGGGTGGAACTCGGGGTGGTCAGCACAGGACAACCTCCTCATTTCCCTGGCTATCTCTCTTGTGACCCATTCCTTTTTTCACCTCTCTGAGGAAGGGATCAGGTCTTCATTTGACAGGCTGTGTTATCTCAGATATAGCATATCATCATCACATGTTCAAACACGGGACTCCCTTGTTGGCATTTTCCCAAGTGTGGCAATAAGTGGATTCAGTTTACCTCTTTCATCTGGACCCTTGAATGGTGGCTAGCCTGTTACTTGGTAGTGAAAGTCACTCAGTCATGTCCAACTCTTTGTGACCCCCTTGGACTATACAGTCCATGGCAGTCTCCAGGCCAGAATACTGGAGTGGGTAGTTGTTTCCTTCTCCAGGGGATCTCCCAACCCAGGGATCAAACCCAGGTCTCCCCCATTGCAGGTGGATGCTTTACCAGCTGAGCCACCGGGGAAGCCCAAGAATACTGGAGTGGGCAGCCTATCCCTTCTCCAGGGAAGCTTCCCAACCCCGGGATCAAACCGTGGTCTCCCACACTGCAGGTGGATTCTTTACCAACTGAGCTACTACCAGGGAAGCCTGTGACATCAGATGGTGAAATGAAAAATGAAAAAAAGTTTGCCGACATACCTGCTATAGGAGAGGACACCAGACCCTCGCCTTATCAACAGAGCATTGTGATGGTCTCTATCCATTGACCATTTTTCCTTAGCTGTGAATGGGTGCTAGAAACCCCTGCCAAAGAGCACCCATGACCACAGGTTCTATATTAGAGAGTCCCTAGAATCCCTGCTCGCCGGAGGGAAACTGAAACAGCCTTTCCACGGGTTGCACTGAGCTGCAATCAACCCCACAAGGAGGAGTCACCCAGCTTGACTGAACACAGGAATAGAGACCCTCACCTCTAAGTTTGAAGACAGATTTACCACAATTTCTCCATTTCTTTTTAAACACTCTGTTGAAGCAGATGGCCATTAACACTATAAGTATAATACAGAAATTCTATCAGTACCCAAAGGCATTTTAAAAACGCTTGTAAAGTCTCTGGGTTGCAAACGGCTCCTCTTCTTCATGTGGTCTGCTCCTATACTTCACCCGGTTGGTTTCCCACAGAGAGAAAATGTTTTATTTTGCATCCAGGACATGATTTTTTACATGTAATTTAATCATGTAGACGTTGACAGTTTTATATATTTATGGTAGCCCTCTAGGTGAAATGATTTATCATTTATCTGCATACATCTGGAAAAGCACATTTGATTTAAAAGAAGGGCATTTATTGTCCTCATTGTATTTCTTTTCTAGTTTATGAGATTGTTAGTTGTTTCATGCTTTAGGGTACATTTATATAAAAATATGTATCAAACAAATTTACAGCAGTGTCTGATAAACACACATTTCTTGATCATTTCTGGCTGTCAGACAGAGACTAGCAAATGGCCAAGCCACCCTAGATGCCCTGGGATGGAGCAGTGTTCATGATGTAAAGCTTGTGGAGGCAGGAGGAGGCGTGCCATGTCCTTCCCACCCTGGGTCAGGACACAGTTCCCTGGCAGCCCCAGAAGTCAACCTCCAGGAAAGAAACACTGACTTTTTCTCTTGGAACTTTTAGGCTGTGATGCTGGGGACTCACTGTCCTCTTTCCTGGCGAGACTGGAGTAAGGATCCAAATGATATGGCCAAGTGTTGACTCTGGCCTGGTGGTCAATGAGGGCTTTCTTGCTCTCTCACATGACAAGGTTCTCCAGACTGATGTTGTCCAAGCCTTGTCCGGACTCTGAAATCAGCCATTTCTCCAAGAAGCCTTGGTTCATTTTAGTGAGAAGTGGTATTTCCCAATCACAGTGTGGGCACTAGAGACAATCTTGACTACTGGGTTGGTCATTGTTTTGTAGGTCTTTTAGTGGACAGAAGCTAGAAATGGATTTCCTTCCTTCTCTCCCTCCCTCCTTCCTTCCATTCATTGATCCATCTACTGATTCTTTTTACTATCCATCCATCCATCCATCTTGCCTATTTGTTCCTACCTATTACATCTACTAGGCTTCCCTGGTGGCTTAGGCAGTAAAGCTTCTGCCTGCATTGCGGGAGACCTGGGTTTGATCCCTGGGTTGGGAAGATCCCCTGGAGAAGGAAATGGCAACCCACTCCAGTACTCTTGCCTGGAAAACTCCATGGACTGAGGAGCCTGGTAGGCTACAGTTCATGGGGTCACAAAGAGTTGGACATGACCGAGCGACGCGACTTCACTTCACTTCATTACATCTATTTAATCTTTCATGTCTATCTAATCTGTATCTAGATAGCTCTGTCTAAAAATAGATAGTAAAATACCTTCTCAATTGATACAATTCAGCTTCAAGACTACATTTGAGCTTTTACTGAACTTCATCTCTGTTACATCTGTATCTCCTTTTCTCCCTCACCAAAGACAGTGAAGAAGATGAAATTAGAACATCCCATGATTACTCTTTTTTTAATGTCCCATATTATACCACAACAGTATCAGAATACCAATAGTAATAATTACTGAAGCATTAAAACTGTTTTGCTGATGTTCTTCCTGTTAACCATTCTCCATTGTTTCTTGTTTTGGTTAAATATATATATATATATATATATATATATGTATATACACACACACATATATATGCACACATAAAATTTGCCATTTTAACCACTTGAAAGTGTACAGTTTAGTGGCCTTAATTATATTCACAATATTGTGCGACCATCAGCACCATCTGTTTCCAAAAGTTTTTCATCACCCAGAACAGAAGCTCTAGCCATTAGGTAATAACTCCCCATTTCCTGCTACTCCCACCCCCTGGTACCTTCTAATATACTTTCTGTCTCTATGAATTTTCCTACTGTATATATTTCATATAAGTGTCAATCACTCCATTTTAAAAATAGTGCACTATATTTATATTGTCAGAACATATATCCATCACACACTGTACTTTCTCCTTTGCTGTCATTTAGCCTTAGTTCTCTGGGTAACTGCATATTTATTGCCCACCACCAGCCCTTATAGTGATGCCTCTTGAGTCATTTTAGTTGTATGAAGTGTGTTCTTTAGCACATTCTTTAGCAAGGGCTGTGCAATCAGTATCTCTTAAAATCTTCCATGTTGATAATATGGAAGATTATCTGCCCTTTACACTTGAAAATCATTTTTTGGTGTATATAAAATCCATGACTCACACTTTTTTTCCTTGAATATATTAAAAGTGCTTCTCCATTTTCTTTTCGTGCAAAAATTGCTGTCAAAAACATGATGACAATTTAATTTTCTTTCCTGTATAAATCATGTGTTCTCTTTCTAGCTAAATAATTACCCCCCACTTCTGCCTTTGTTTGAGAGAAGGCAATGGCAACCCACTCCAGTATTCTTCCCTGGGAAATCCTATGGACAGAGGAGCCTGGTGGGCCACGATATATGGGGTTGCAAATAGTTGGACACAGCTGAGCACACACTGCCTTTTTAAAGTCCAGCAATTTTACTAGACTATGACTTAGTATTATTGTTACAGCATTTCTAGCCCAGTTGTTCTGGGCTAATATTCTCAGGAATGTTGTATACTGTTATTTTTTTTTCAGGAAACTTTTTTCTTGAATGACAGTCTGTAATATTTGCTCTGTTCCTTTGGTTTTGGTTTTCTCCTTTAGGAAGTAGATCTTCTTTGCCTATCCTCAATTTTCATCACCTTCTTTCAAAATTTTTTCTCTTTAATCACTTAAAAATTATTGAGACAATTTTAGATTCACATGCAGTTGTAAGAGATAAATCAGAGAAAGTCTAGATATTTTTCACCCAGTTTACCTCAGTGATAATATCTTACTTAGCTATAGTGGAATATCAAAACCAGGAACCTGACATTGATACAATCCATCAACCTTATCAGATTTCACCAGTTTTGCATGGACTCATGTGTACATTTAGTTCTGTGCGATTTTATCAGATGTGTAGATTCACATGAGCATCACTCCAGTCAAGATAGAAATGGGTAACTTCCCAGGTGGCACAGTGGTAAAGAATCTGCCTACCAATGTAGGAGATGGGTTTGATCCCTGAGTCGGGAAGATCCCCTGGAGTAGGAAATGGCAACCACTCCAGTATTCTTGCCTTGGAAATCCCATGGACTCGGGAGCCTGAGGGGTACAGTCCATGGGGTTGTAGAGAATAGGACATGGCTGAGCACCACATATTTACAGTCAAGATAGAGGAGTTCTGTCACGTGAATCCCATTGCTTCCCTTTGATAGCAGTAGCTGCCTCCATCCTTCTCACCTTCCCTAATCTTTGGCAACTAATAATCTGTTCCCCTTCTCTGGAATGTTGTCATTTCAAGAAGCCTATATAAATGGAATCATATAGTATATGTATAAGCTTTGAGGGTTGACTTTTTTTTTTTTTTTTTGCTTAGCCTCATTCCCTGGAGATCCATCCAAGCTGTTAAATGTATCAGTGGTTCACTCCTTTGTGTTGCTGAATAGTATTCCTTGTTGAATACACCACAATTAGTTTAACCAACCATCCCTCAAAGGACATCTGGGCTGATCCCAGTTTTTGGTTATTGCAAATACAGCTTTTATGAGCATTCCTGTGTAGGCTTTTGGACATGCACAGTTCCAGCCTGCCTGCTTTTCGATGGATACCTGTTGTTTTGGGGGTTCTCTTGTTCTCAAATGCTACCCATTGCTTCCTCCTCCTTCCTCCTGCACAGATTCCAGTGCCATAAAAGTCTTGTGGGTTTGTGGCTTTTCTTCTGGTTTCGTTATCCATGAAATTTCATCTGGTTTCATTTTCCATGGTCTTCTGTTCTCAAGTTTTTCTGTTTTTCTGTGAGTGTTCAGAGGGATTGAAAACTTATGCTGCGCTGCCCCTGTGCTTCATAGAATCTACACCTCAGCCATGTTGTTTACAAAATATTATATTTTAGTCTGTATTTCTAGAATTTGTGTCATGAGTGAAACCCACACACTTCAGCTCTGCCTGTTGCAAGAGATTTTATGTAAATTAGCCCAAATTGATCTTTTAGACCTGGAAGCCATGCCTAGATTCATACCGGCTCCTACTTACTAGCTGTTACTTTGAACATGTTAATTAACCTCTCTGTATTTCAGTTCCTTTGTGTGTTAAGTGGGGGAGAATGATAGAATCATCTTCATTAGCTTCCTGCGATAATTAAATGAGGTAATGCACGTAAGATGCCTAGAATAGTGCCTGGCACATAGTAATTGCTCATGTAAACATTAGTGATTATTATTTTCTTTGCACACACGTATTCTTTTTCATAGTAAATTTGCCATTTTATCTTTTATTTAATTTTTTTATTGTGGCTGCCCTGGGTCTCCATTGTGGCATGCAGGCATTCTCTAGTTTCGGCGGTTGAGCTCTAGAGCCTGAGGGCTCAGTATTTGTGGCACGTAGGCCTCTCGAATTGCGGTGTGCAGCCTTAGCTGCCCCATGGCACATGGGATCTTAATTCCCGGACAGGGACTGAACCCACATCCTCTGTGTCAGAAGGAGGATTCTGAACCATTGGACCACCAGGGAAGTCCCCACATCAGTGTTCTAAATTAACAGATAAGAACTGGAGCCTATTATCCAGAGTGAAGTCAGTCAGAAAGAGAAAGACGAATACTGTAAATTAATGCATACATATGGAATTTAGAAAGATGGTAACAATGATCCTACATTCAGGGCAGTAAAGGAGACACAGAACAGACTTTTGGACTTAGTGGGAGAAGGCGAGGGTGGAATGATTTGAGATAATAGCATTGAAACATGTACATTACCATATGTCAAATAGATAACCAGTGCAAGTTCAATGCATGAAGCAGGGCATCCAAAGCCAGTACTCTGGGACAACCCAGATGGATAGGGTGTGAAGGGAGGTGGGAGGAGGGGTTCAGAATGGGGGTGGGGCACATGCATACCCCATGGCTGATTCATGTTGGTATATGGCAAAACCCATCACAATATTGTATAGTAAGTATCCTCCAATTAAAATAAATTCATTATTTAAAAAATATGAAAAAGTTTACTTCTGAGAGGGCAAGTCTTATTTCTTTCATTTTGAATTTCTTGGGGGAAAACTCCATCAACCAGAAATGAATATCTCTCCTACCATGTTTTTCCTTCTAAAAATGGTGTTAAGGTAAATTCTTCGACATTTTGTAATCAATTTGCCTCTGGAAAGTAGGAGTGTCCCTCCATCCCGTGTCTGCATATAGCACGTGCCGGATAGCCGGATTCACGGTGACTGTGCCATGGGCGGCTCTCCACGCCGGATGCATTAACGCGCGTGCCCGCTCTGCCCTGTGTTGCAGCACCCTGCCGAGTCTGGATGCCCCGTACCCCATGCTGGTGTTGGCCGGTCCTCAAGCATGTGGTAAACGAGAACTCGCTCACCGCCTCTGCAGACAGTTCAGCACTTACTTCAGATACGGGTGAGTTTATTGGCTGCTAAGGCTGTAAAATGTCTGCTGTTGCTCACAATGGGTATTAATTTTAAGCAAGTTAAAAGGCATGCATAGAAGGCTTATGAGCTGCTTTGCCAGTTATTACACTGTGATATACACTGTATTTATTTATTTTTTTCTTTTACTTTAACCCTCCAAATGTTTTGATGCTCTCAGCCACAGCCAAAATCCGGCTCCAAGATTGGAGCTACACGTGGTCTTAATTGAGCCTCGTGGTATTGGAGCATGGCCTCCTCCTGTTGCCGGAGTGGTGTGACACGCGGATCACAACGTTGTGATGGGGGGCTGGGGGGTGGGTCTGCGCTGCAGTCACAGCCTCTCCTCATCACTGTCGGAGCGCAAGCTGCCAGCATGTCAGCTGCTTTATTTCCGCTCAAGTCTTCCTCTTTGGAGGCATATTTCAGAAGGAAGGAACGAGAAATGACAGCCAAAGAGTTCCTTTTCCTTACCCTCAGGTTAGCATTCAGTACCCTTTCAGTTTTCTGGGATGGATATTTCGCTGTGTGATTCCCAAATGACTCCGTTAAAATAGCCGGATATATCCAAAACACAAGAACCTTCCGGGGAAATCATCAGCTGGACTTAGAGACTTTTTAAAGGTTTCCGTGTCTCAGTTTGAGAGTTATCGTTGCGACCTTTTCAACTGGTTTCCTCTTTCCTTTTTTTACTATAGCAAAGACCTTACTTTTAGATTAGCGATGTTTCTCAGTGAGCTGAGAATATGACTACAAAGATACATAAGACGGCAAGAAAAAGAAATGTAAATTATGTTCTAATGCTGTTGCAAACAAGTTCCTTCCCTTAAGCTACATGTGTTCAAACAATGTAAACACTATGTTAAACAGGTTCATTTATTTAGAGATCCAAAATTATATCCATCATTTGAACAACTCCAGGAAACAAATACTATAGAAGGATTTATTCATTAATTTATTCTAAACACCCTGAAGCAACAAAAAGTAAATTAAAACTTAATATCAGAATTGAAAAGTGCAGAGTGTCTTTATGCTTATACAACGGTATGGAACCTGCTTCGAAAGCTAAGTGGAGCGTAATGAATGGACGATCAAATTAGGGCACAAAAGATATCTCCTGACTGTGGTGCTAATGTGTAAATGTGGAACCTTTTAGCGAACCAGAGTGACTTACATGATCCAAGGCTTTCCTGCTTAGAAGTCCTTTCACATGTCTGACACCAGTTCTTGCAAATATTTCAGAGCCCATCCTTCATGTTTGTTTGTGGTTTGCTCTCTGAGGCACACAGGGCCAGATGTGTTCTTGGAGATGTCTGTTAACTCATCATCAAGGTTGTAATCCAGTTGGCCTTGACATTCTCACTGGATAGCTAGCTCCCGCCCCAACCCCACCGATGTTCACTTTCATTAAATCCTGCTTTTCCACTGTTAAATGTCTGTCCATCATGCTCGTGATGATGTACTTAATGCCTGGTTCCCCTGCTCGACTGTAAGCCCAGTGAGGGTGGGGACTAATGCCAGCTTTGCTCACCATTGAGTTCCCAGTATTCAGCAGATGGCCAGGCGCTTCTACTTGCATGAGAAATATTTTTTAAATGAATGACTAAGTGATTGTCTGAATGGATGGATGAGTTAATTAATGGTATTATATGCAAAATTGAGTGGGAAATTACTGTGCTAAGAAGCATAGGGGTTTTTTTTTTTTCCAACCTCCACTGCTGGGTACATGGAGAGATGAAGAGATTCATTCATTTGTTCTTCCACTCTTTCTATAAAGATTTATCGAGTTCTTCCCATGTGTTGGGCCCTGAAGATGCAGTGGGAACAATATTGATGAGGCCCTTGCCTTAATGATGGTAATGTATTTGGAAATAAGTGGAGAGACTCTGAAGGTGGGGAACTCAGACCTTAAATAGTTAGCCTCACATATACAATTTGTCTGGAGGCACAGGATGACAAAGCAAAAATCCTAAAATGAGCTTCCTGCTCCTATAATGGTACTGTTGCCACTGCTATTTTTCTCCTCTGGATGGGGTTAGTGGCGAGTGGAAAAATAACCTGAGTGGGAAAACCCCCAGTCACCCTCCCACCTCCCTCATGGGCTCAGAAGCCTTGTCTGACCATGCTCTGGCATCTTCATGGAGGCAGAGGTCAGGGCTTATAAATAGGAGGGTCATTCTCAGAATTTCACCAAGGCATGGCTCAAAGAGCATGTCGTGCGTGCTTGCTAAGTCGTTTTAGTTGTGTCCGACTCTTTGCAACCCTTTGGGCTGCAGCCCGCCAGGCTCCTCTGTCCATGGGATTCTCCAGGCAAGAATACCAGAGTGAGTTGCCATGCCCGCCTCGGGGGGATCTTCCCGATCCAGGGATAGAACCCGCATCTCTTATGTCTCCTGTTGGCAGGCAGGTTGTTTTATCTCTAGCACCACCTGGGGAGCCCAAAGAGCATATCATTGGACCATAAAGAGTATTAGGAAACCAGTTATTTCATGCAATAAGAAAGTCAGATAGTACTACGATGATACATGACAACTTTCTAATTAAAACAAATGATAAAACCAAAGCGCATCCTCAGGGTCAAGCCATTGCTCTTGTTTAGATTTTCTTATATTTTAGTCTTCATCCAACATAAATTTTATTGATGTTTAATTAAATGGGAAAAAAAGGCATGAATATAGTCTCATTGTGAAACACATAAACATTTACAAAGGCGCTTTCTCTAGCGCTTGCTTGAATCTTTTCTTTCCCTCCTATTTAGCACATTTTCTCCTGGCATTTTGTCTTCCTTTTTAAATTGCATTTACCCAAGACTATGACATTCAATGAAATAATTCACATGCTGAGTTGCATATCCAGATGTATAAATATTAAAAATGTATCTCAGTGGTATAACAAATATTGGCGTGGCTGAGAGATTGTTCTCTTGCCTCAGGATCTGATTTTACTATTTGTTCTTGGTTTTAGGAATAGGCTGGATGTTCTTTCTTTACCAGTATTAGTTATAAGTGACCTAGAGATGGGACTTCCCAGGTGGCTCACTAATGAAGAATCTGCCTGCCAATGCAGGAGATGTGGGTTTAATCCCTGGGTCAGGAAGATCCCTTGGAGGAGGGCACGGCAACCCACTCTGGTATTCTTGCCTGGAAAATCCCATAGACAGAAGAGCCTGGCAGTCTACAGTCCATAGGGTCTCAAAGAGTCAGATATGGCTGAGCAACTGAGCACGCATCCATGGCCTAGAGGTAGGCCATGCCTTCTGAGTCTCTCCATTTATTTCTAGTCTTACTGTTACTGCACAGATCAGTAGCTTCCTGGAAGAGTGCTGGATAATGAAAGAAACATAAAACAATACCAGCATGCCTGTTCATCTTCCAGATTTAAGGCCTTGAAAGTGATCTGATTAGGCATGAAAGCAAAACTTTATTCTTCTTAGAGCAATCTTTATTTTTATAACCTTTTCCATGATGTTGACTACTAAAAATATTCTACTAATAATATGGTAAATCAGAGACCCATAGCTATTGAGCTAAATGAGATGATATGAGCTATAGCTCCCTAGTGCAGTCTAATCTAATGCCCCTTTATATAGATGTGACAGACTAGTACAATGGTTTATTTATTCCTTCAGTCAGTGTTTCTTAAGCACTGTCTATGTGCCTTATTCCAGCAATGAAACTATGAAACAAGCAGACATGGGTCTTGTCCTCCTAGCAGCTTACAACCTATATGAGATTCAGTTAAGTAAAGCCACCTAACAAGATAGTTTGATGGGTGCTATGATGAGGGAAGTGAAGAACCTCTGTGATAGAAGAAATGAGAGGTAAATGGGATGTGAGATTTGAGCAGGGAATGCAGTCCAGGCAGAAAGAACAACAGGCACATTTGATTAACTGAGAGTATTATCCACTGTAGCCTGCCTAAGCGTGAAGCATGGAGGAAGATGGCAGAAAATGGGACTAGAGAAAAAGTCAGGGGTCTGACCATAAACTAAGCAGAGGAGTGTCAGGTTCACAGCTGCGTTTTAGAAAGTGGGCCCTCTGGGCAGTTTGGGAGAGGGTTTGGGGATGGAAGGCTGGAAACTGGAGACTGGTTAGGATATAGTGACAGGTGTTGGCACGAACTAGAAAGTGGTGTGTAGTTACTGGAAAGTGGACAGAGTAGTGGCTGCCTGGAATTTGATAATCAGACACAGTACATGCTGGAATCTTCTGTGTTCCTGATCTCTTAAATTGTGTCCAGTGACTTACTGATACACATTTGCACTGGGCATTGGGACCAATTCGGTATGCCTACCAAGCACCCTGGGAATACCTGGGCATTTGTGAACACCCAGTGAAAGAGGTCCCTTGCTCACAATATGGCATTCTATAAATGTGCTTGAGTTTGGATGCACTCACAGCCAAAATGCGCTCTGCCTAAATATTTTCAGTAACAAATTCATTATTTCTTGAGGCAATCTGGTCCAGAATTGAGATTCTAAATCTGCACGCTTCTGAATCACACTGAAAAAACTTCTACTCCCTCAGCCATCTCCTAGCTCTTCTTAGACATTTTTGCTTCTTCTTCTTACATCTTCCCAGATGTAATGACATTTCATTATCTGGCCAGGCCTTCCATATTCATTTCTGTCCTGATCATATCCCCCAGTCCACAGACTTGGTTTGTTAGGATCCTAGATGACAGCTGGCCAGTGAATCGGCCTTTAAGAATGCGTAACTCACCCTTAGACTTTGAGCACCAGTGTTGTAGTCTGAGGTTAAGTGCTAACTCAGCTCTTTTGTCTGTTAATGAAACTAACAAGGAGTATGGCTCCCATCGCAAACCAGGTTTTAACTAATTTACCTTGATTTAACTAGTAAGTTAGTAAAAATAAACTCATAGGAATGTAAATTACAATTGAAATTATGTTTAGACCGGGGAGAGGAAACATATTAAAGGTGATGGCCCAAGCAAATTTCTTTATCAGGCATCGTGTTTATCTAAGTTTAATGAAACATTTCTTTCACTATGAAGTATTTCCTTTTTAAGATATTCATATTTGGACAGCATGCTACAGAGCAAACATCTCTATATGTGAAAACTGGATGACAGATTCAAAAAACCGTAGGTCATCTCAGGTCCTTCTTAATAGAAAGTTCCACAGTGGATGCTGGTTCTGTTATCAGCATTCTCCACGTCAGTGAAGCCATCCCTTTATTTACCTGCTTAGAAGCTTCAGATTGCTTCTTTGCTTCGTCTTTCTTTTAGAAATTCTGAGAAAATCCCTGCCACTCAATTCTTTTGTTGGAAAATGCAAATTCAGTACAGTGTACAAAGGCTGCTCTAAGGGTGCGTGGTACCCGAAGCGAAGTCACTGAGTTATCTGTCCTGACTGTCAAGGACACCAACAAACAGAGGGTCTCAGGTCCCCGCCAAGCGGTGGGAAGAGATGTCGGTGCGAGCAAACAGCACAATGAAGGTCACGGTGTTTGGACTGCCTTCTCTTAGAATGTGTGCACTTTCCTGAGTGTGCAGTTTAAATGTGATCTTAAAACCTTTACCTTTATAGTATTAGTTCTTGACTGTAAGGCAGGGGAACAATAGTATGAATTATAAAAGCTTGTTTGTTTTTGACTTTGAAATGGAGAAGATTTTGAGGTTGTGACTTTACCCTCTTCAGTTCAGTCGCTCAGTCGTGTCCGCCTCTCTGCGACCCCATGAACCTGACCGGTGTCATCCTGTGGTTGTTACTGAGTCATGTTACTTCACTGCTGTGTCTCAGTTTCGTCGTCTGTAAAATGAGAACAGTGGTGGTGAGGTAATAACAGTGGTAATGGTAATATAACCGTCGGTAATGGTAACATTACCTACCTCATGTCTTTTTGTGAGGAGTCAATGAAATAGCATGTCATGTGTCTAGCTATTTGCATCTCCTGTTTTAAAGCTGTAGGATAATCTAAAAATCAGTTTGCATTCCCAGAACTTAACATTGGGAAGTCAGCATGTCTGAAATCAAGAGTCCTGGGCTAGTTGGGAGTCACAGTTTAGTTCCGGGACCAGTATTGGCCTGCTCTCTGGCCTTGGACAAGTCTTTTTTTTTTTTTTGGTGGTGGGGGCATGCCACATGTCATGTGGGATCTTAGTTACCCAACCAGGGGTCAAGCCTAAGCCCCTTGCAGTGAAAACTCCCAAGTCTTAACCACTGAACCACCAGGGAAGTCCCTGGGCAAGTCATTTTTATAGTCATCTTAAAATGGAGCTCATCACAGCTACTGTCCACTTCACGTGTTCAATTAATTCATTCATGTTATAGATACTTAATAAATGCCTACTATGGGCCAGGCACTGTGAATACAGTGGCAGATAAGATGAACAAGATAAAGTACTCCCTATTTACAACAGCTAGGACATGGAAGCAGCCTAGGTGTCCATTAGCAGATGGATAAAGGAGTTGTGGTACATATATACAAAGGAATATTACTCAGCCATAAAAAGGAATGCATTTGAGTCAGTTCTCATAAGGTGGATGAATCTTGAGTCGGTTATACAAAGTGAGGTATGTCAGAAAGAGAAAAACAAATATCGTATATTGATGCATATATATGGAATCTAGAAAAATGGTAAGGATGAACCTATGTGTAGGACAGGAATAGAGATGCAGACATGGAGAACAGGCTTGTGGATACAGCGGGGGAAGCAGAGGGTGGGATGAGTTGAGAGAGTAGCGTTGAAACACATACATTACCATATGTAAAACAGATAGCTAGTGGGAATTTGCTATATGATACAGGGAGCTCAAACCCAGTACCCTGCGACTCCCTAGAGGGGTGAGATGGGGAGAGGTGGGAGGGAGGTTCAAGGAGGCAACATATGTATACTTATGGATAATTCACATTGTGGTATGGCAGAAAATTTTAAAAATTAATTTTAAAAAATTTTAGAAACAAAGTGCTCCCTTTATTATTCATACATCCTCCTGGGCAAGATAGGGAAAAAAAGAGAAGGAGTAACAGAGTAATTGGGGTGTGGTGAGCTGGGTTGCGTGCATGTGTGTGCTCAGTCGTGTCTGACTCTGAGACTCAGGGACTACAGCCCGCCAGGCTCCTCTCTGTTCATGGAATTCTCCAGGCAAGAATACTAGAGCGGGTTGCCGTTTTCCATTTTCTTCTTCAGGGGATCGTCCCAGCCCAGAGATCAAACCTGGGTCTCCTGCATTGTCGGTGGATTCTTTACTATCTGAGCCACCAGGGGAGCTGTGGGGATGCTATTTCAGACAGTGGGCAGAAGGGCCCTCTCTGGTTGAGCTGAGAATGCCATTCAGTGTTGGAATCCTGGATCCTCACGGGAAGTTCATACAGATTGATGAGCGTGGCAGGAGTGAAGAGCGGGCTGGTCTCCACCCTCCAGCAGTGGAGGAGATGGGGTCCTGAACAAGGCAGTGGGGGAGGAGTTGGCGGCAGGCACTGAGACTGCCCATGGATAAAGAAGAGGTGCATCACCCGGCCACAGGGGGTCCAGAAAGGCCTTTTGAGAGTGACACTTAAACTGAGTCCTGAAGACAAGTGGGCTAACCAGATGGAGGAGTGGGGTAGGGAGCATTCCAGAAAATAGCCATAGACCAGGGAGACTATGAAAACATCCAGGTGAAAAGTATATGGGTGATAAATATTGTTTTATTTCTTAAAGTTTGATGATGTGATATTAGAGGTCATGACTCAGAAGGTGGTAAAGAACAATAAGTGAAAACTTACTGCTGATAATCCAACAAAGTGTTGGTAATCCAACACTAAATTTTTTGGGACTCTAAAATCACTGCACATGGTGACTGCAGCCATGAAATTAAAAGACTCTTACTCCTTGGAAGGAAAGTTATGACCAACCTAGAGAGCATATTAAAGAGCAGAGACATTACTTTGCCAACTAAGGTCCATCTAATCAAGGCTATGGTTCTTCCAGTGGTCATGTATGTTTGTGAGAGTTGGACTATAAAGAAAGCTGAGCACCAAAGAATTGATGCTTTTGAACTGTGGTGTTGGAGAAGACTCTTGAGAGTGACTTGGACTGCAAGGAGATCCAACCAGTCCATCCTAAAGGAGATCAGTCCTGGGTGTTCATTGGAAGGACTGATGCTGAAGCTGAAACTCCAGCACTTTGGCCACCTGATGCGAAGAACTGACTCATCCAAAAAGACCCTGATGCTCGGAAAGATTGAGGGCAGGAGGAGAAGGGGATGACAGAGGATGAGATGGTTGGATGACATCACTAAGTCAGTGGACATGAATTTGAATAAACTCTAGGAGTTGGTGATGGACAGGGAGGCCTGGTGTGCTGCAGTCCATGGGGTCACAAAGAGTCGGACGCAACTGAGTGACTGATCCGAACTGAATCCAAAATTTGTATAATCCCTATACACTATAGCAAGTGAACGTGTCTAGCACTGCCAAACCTCAGGGTTTTCATGGTTATGTTACTTTATGATTTGTGGATCCACTTTAATTTTTTAAAACACTTTATGCCAAACCCTTTTCCATTTTGAATTTCAAATTAATAGAAAGAGATAGGAGTTATATACTTTCTGTTTTCAGGGCCTGTCACACCACCAGACTGCCTTACTTTGGAGAAGGAGATCGGGTTGATTATCATTTTATCTCTCAAGAAGTTTTTGATGAAATGCAAAACACGGTAAGACTGCTCTTTTTGTGTAATGCATAAGAAATACATGTTCTCTGGTAGAAGTATTAGGAAATCATAATAAGAAAGAGAACAATTACATGGATGTATTCTCATTGAGTTGTGTTTTTAACACCTTTGATATATCATCGTCCACATGCTGCTTTATGATCTTGGAGAAAATACTGTAAATTTCCAATGAAACCAAATAAAGAGATGTTTTAAGAAAATGGAAGAAAGAGCACTGTGAAAAGTTCTTGAGATCTGTGTTTGTCAGGTGCTGCTATTTATGGTCAGATTTTACTCAAGATAAACGACTCCCCCAAAACTGATGTTACTCAGCTAACTTATGAATTGAGCACTTTGAGGGAGTTGGCATGTTCTGTCCACCGACCACTCCCTCTTTGCTATCTTTGGTGCTTTCTAATTGTTGTGACCCTACACACCGTTTCAGCCAGTTGGTCTGCCCTGGACACGTACACAGCCTTAACCTTCCCGGGAAACATCGCTATGTGAGTAGTCCTCAGTCCCAGAGAGCCGGCAGGCAGGTCATTAACGCAGTTGGAAGCCCTTGACATTAGATCAGAGAAGATTCCTCATTTCTTTGAGGTCTGTGGCTTTCCTGGGTGAGGGTCACTACCCTGCTCTGGTCCCTTTCGTAGGAGCTCTGGATAGTTTTATTCAACTTAAAGCTTTACCCCCTGAAACCCTGATCATCTAGTCATCGGTAGTAATTCACAACAACCTTGTCTCTGAGTTCATTTCCTTAAAATAATTTATTTGTTCTTTCTTGGCCCTTCGCCTGCCAAGTGAATCCTCACAACCCTAGCGTGTTTTGTCTATCAAAGGTACGTGTTAATGTCAATACATTATCCACCCATGACTTCAGTTAAAGAGTATCTCATATCTTCATCACTACTGATAAATCTGTAAGCCTCTTATTCTTTTTTCAGGCATGGGCCTTAATTTTGTTTATCTTATCATCATCTTCTTTCTATCACTACATTAATCCTACACCACTTTTTTTCCCCTTGAAGCCTAGTGAAGGACAGGATTAAGGACTAATCTCTGTTTCTGCCTTTGAAAGATTACCATCCAACCAGTGATGCTGTTACTGCTGCAGGCCCCCTCCTCTCTCCCCCCTGCTCCTTCATCTGTCCTTTCTCTGCCCCATCCTCAAATAACCGACCTGGCTTACACCTCAGTGCAGGCAACTGTGGAGCATTTAAGCATAGGTCTGCAGTTGCTGTGAGTTTACTTTTGAATGCCCAACTTTACACATGGTACATATTTTCTCTTGCATTCACAGAGAAACCAAGTGAGAAAACCCTATAGTCCCTGGGCCATTTTCTCTCTTAATCTTGTCAGAAGAACATCTTGGAAATTCTTTATGATTTTCTCTCTTAGGGCTATGTTTTAGAAGTTCAGTTTAATGTACCAAGGGTACTCTGAGACTTTATATTTCTAAAAGCCATAATAGAAATCTGAGGAGTTATCTTGATAGTAGTAAGAAGCATTCTCTTAGGACTCTTTGGGTTGAAAGACAACTAGTTCCCCACACTGCTGTTAATTTCTCGTGGTAGAGTCTGGGGCATTTTTTCTTGATTTAGTTCCACTGCTCTCAGTGTCCCCATGGGCTCCCCTGATGTTTCAGACCTTATCATGTCTATAACCGAGTAAGTCCTACAGTTCCTAGTCTAAGAACTCACCATACGTCTGGACTGTATTTAGTCTTCTAGTTTTACTCTCATGACGAAAGTTCTTGTGTACTGGAGAAGCACTGATTTTTACTGCCTCTGCTAACATGCATGTCTTCACTGTGATATCATCATTGTTAACTTGAATTTTGTCGTTAAGATCTTCTCTTTAAAGAGAGCTTGAGGCTGTTTCGTGAAGAGACAAACCTAGAGAGGAGAAATTCACACCTTGTCAGCTGCACCAGTCACACCCACACACTCAGCCTCTGTACACAGAACCCCTCTACAGAACACTCCCCAGCCAGCCTGCCCCCTTCCAAGTCACAGTGCCCCTTAACAGACAGCCCTGGCACACCCCACTCCTGCACACCTGCCGTGGACCGGTCACACCTCCCCACTCTGATGGGCACACGTAGACTGGCACACACTTCCGTATACACTCCACACCCCCCAAAACACAGATCATCTCTCCATGTGCCCACAGACGCGCGAACCCTTCTTAAGGCCACATACACAGTCACTCACCTGCAGAGCGTCTTCTTCCCTGGTGGAAATAAGACCGCAGATCTGGAGGTGTCTGAGATAAGATGATTGCTCTGTATGAAGAAATCCACAGGCAGGAAGCCATGACAGGAGTATACCTCTCCGGAAGCTGGGGGACCACTCATCTCAATTCTTAACAAATCAGTTGAACAAGGCTTGTTTTTTGTGCACAAGTACAATGCAAGATTTCTCCCAACCCTACCTTCTTCCAAAAGATGTTTTTGGGATCCATTTGTGTGCCCTTGTACACACAAGTAAGCAAACTCATAGTATACATCTGGAAAGTGATTCAAATACATGTTATAAAAACAGGGTGAGTCACAGTAAACAAGATAAAATATGTCATACCTGACAAGAGATTCAGATATCTGTTTATCTGTGTATGTGTGTATATATATAAAATATAGATATTAAAAGGAAAGGAGTCATAGTGTTTATTACAAAGAACACAGTATGACACTGAGTGGGTAAAGTATTAAGGATATTTATTGTTGAGTCTTTAACTTTTAGGAGGTATAACATAAATTTCATTTGCTATGGGAGGGGTGTGGATTTTTCTTATTGCCCACACCAGACACATGGCCCAGAGGCCCATCCCGCCTGAGGGACACCCTTTCATGGCCTTCCAACACCACCCCCCGACAGGTAGCCCACCCCCCATCCCCACTGATCTCCAGAACCTCCGGGCCAGGAGGCACAGGGTAGCATCAGACACCCAAGCTGCTACTATTTGTAACGACGATGCTGGCTGTTACTGGTCTTCGGTGGATGGGGCTCAGCCTTAGGAGTTTTCACTTCATTATTTATTTCAAAATCATGTATCGGAGGAGTCCTAGCGGCCAAGGATGTCCACATTTTTCTTCCTTCTGTTGTCATCAGCATCCACCTTGTGGTTTAGTAAATATCATATCATCAAAGGAAAAGTCAAGACAATTTTGAGAGATGTTTCTAGTTCTTTTTTTTTTTTCTTTCTTTCTTTTTTACACATGCCTACAGTTTCAGAAAGAACTGGGCTTCCAGAATATAAAGAGAAGGCAGTATTTATACCTCAAATGTCTCGAGGGCACACACAATGCTGAATACATTTGGGGCAGTTCCAATAAAAAGCTGTGTTTATGAGGAAAAGCAGGAGGGGTCTGTTTTTTACTGCTTATCTCTGGATGCAAAGGTTTGAGGATGTGGCTGTAATTGACGGCCTTCAGGCTTATCTGGGAGAGCAAGGCCTTTGGGAATGGAAGCTTTGCGGGGAGAGCTGGTGCACTGGGCGAGCCAAAATGGCCGAGGCACAGAGTGAACTATTGGTTTTGCTTTCTCCGTAATGAAGGTTTATAGCACACGTTTGGCAGGAAGTGGGTCAGTGAGCAGAATGATCTGTTTACCATAAGCTTCATTGCCTTCACTCTGCTCTGACATTTGGTCAGCAGATTATCTCCAAAAGCCTTTTCTTTTTTTTTTTTGCCAGCTAGGAATTCTGAATGAATTTCTCCATCACAGTTTGATATTAAGTTTCTTAAACCCATTATCATCCTTATGTAATTGCTAATATTTGTAAGTTTTATGGACTCATATAGAAAGAAGACATCACGTCATTTAATTTATATTAAATTCCATGATGGCAGCTATTATTGGAAAGTCTTTTTACTTCTTCCCTTGCAGGGGAAATTCATTCTAACCTATAATTATGGTAATCACAAGTACGGATTAAGTAGGGACACCATAGAAGGTATCGCAAGAGATGGCTTAGCAAGCTGTGTTCATATGGAAATAGAAGTAAGTACTTTCCATTCAATCAATTTCTTTTTAGTGTGTAAAACTGTGTATATATCTGGGACTGGGGAGGAGGCTATGGTGTGCAGGCAGCACACTTCTAGGCCTGAAAGGAATGCATACAAAAGGTGAGATTTGGGGGACATCCCTGGTGGTCCAGTGGTTGAGACTCCATGCTCCCACCGCAGGAGGCTCAGGTCTGATCCCTGGTCAGGGAGCTAAAATTCTGCATGCCACATAGCATGGTCAAAAAGTTAAAAAGTAGTAATAATGTGAAATTTTAAGTTTTTAATTAGCTTAGCAAGATATAAATAATTCAACTGGAGTTAGAGAACAAGACATCACCCAAATGCTATGGAGTAAAACAGCCACTCAAGATTTATTTTCTGAGTTATTTCCTCTCTAAATTATCCCTTTTTCTTTTTAGAGCATGGTTCTCTGTTTCTATAAGTGATATCAGAGAAAATGCTTCCCACAGGGTGTGAAGGTCGCTCCCTGTCCCCACAGGACAGTGGCAGGTCCCTGCTGTTGAACTTGTCTCTCCCTTCTCCAGGGGAGATGCCTAGGGTAGGCTGGCGTTTGGTTTCAGCTGTTCACTGGTTACCATTTTCCATGTATATATATATGGTGTGTGTTTTTTTTTTAGCAATTTAGGCTCTCAGGTTTCAGCAGATCTTTCTCTCTTCCCCAATATCCCATCTTTCCACAGTGATCTTCTGGAGTTAGAATATATAGAACCCTCTCTCAAATTGACTCCAGGGTAAAACCAGGAATATCCAACTCATTTGTTTTAAAAAATATGTAGTTATATTAAATATTTGAGATCTTCAAATACAGTTGATTTTTTTTTCAAGTTACCTTCTCTGAACAGTGTAACATTTTTTTAGTCAGAAAGAAAAAAAGTAATTAAAAGGATCCCATTAGACCAAACACTCAGAAAACAAAATCTAGGTAAGTCAGGTATTCCATTACTATTGACTACCTCTCCCTTTTTCTTCCAGCTCATTAATTTCCCTAACTTTAAAACCCTGCCGTTCTTATCTTCCTGCAATTGATTGGTTGTTCATCCTTGAGAAGGTTTGCTTTGTTTCTATGCTAATTAGTCAGAACAACAACAACAACAACAACAAAGACCTTTCCCAGAAAATGTCTTCTTTGAACAAGGCAGAAACAAAAAGTATGCATCTGAGTGCAGACACTCCCCAGCTCCAGTTGACTACCTTTTTCCATTTCAGCGGTTCTGAGTTCTGGCTCCTGTTTTACTTTTTTCCTCCCTGAGAGCTTCCTCCTGCTCATTGCCAGGAGGTTGAGTCTATAAACCAGGCTCTATTCCTGGTTCTTCCCAGCTAAATCATTTTTCCAAACTCTCCTTGTCATTGACCCTTTTAGACACTGTTTTTTGTGTTTTTTTAAAGAGTCTCCATTTCTTCCCCTTGAATTTTTAAAAACAAAGATTTTGAACACTGAGTTAAACTACTGATGGTTGGATTGAGATGGAAGGAACTTCAGAGTCCATTTGAAAGAACTTCCATTTCACAGAGGAGGTGGCACAGAGTCACAGGAGCCGGCGAGCTGCAGTCCTGACCCAGGCCCCGGTTCCTCAGAGCACTACTGCCTACCACTGCTTCCCTGCTTTGCGTGGGCTCCTGGTTACCAGGGTATCAGGAGCCTGGCCTTCCCATGCTCTGGGTATGGGCTGTGAGATGTAATAGGAGCCAGCCAACCGCCAGGCTGCTGATTTAGGAACAGGAAGGGACCAAGTTGATGACAGAGGGGAAACAGAGGAGCCTTTCTTTCTGGTAAGATCTCTGTCTCCTGCAGCTGCAAGGATACCTTTTGAAAAGTAGAATTGAAATTGCTTTTCAGTTATAAATATGCAGTATTCTGTGAGCATACCTATTTGTCGCTAGCAATTTTCTTTTTTAACAGTCATGTTCCTTAGAACGTTAAAGGATAACCAGGTAGGATGAATTCTTATTTTTCTAATGATAACGTAATATTTGATACACAGATAGAAGTAATCCAATCCTGAGGTGTTTGTAGGAAAACAATAGTTAATTATACAGAATAAACAAATTCTTCAGTACAACACTACTTATTAAACCTATGTTGTCACATATTTCCTAAATGATTTCTAAATTGTGTCTCTGTTTCTAATTTATTATCTTTTCTTTAAATACATAGGGTGTAAGAAGTTTAAAACATTCCTATTTTGAGCCTCGATATATCCTGGTGGTACCCATGGACAAGCAAAAATATGAGGGCTACTTGAGGAGAAAAGGATTATTCAGTCGTGCAGAGATTGAATTTGCTGTCTCCAGAGTGGACCTTTATATTAAAATTAATCAGAAATATCCAGGATACTTTGATGCAGTAATCAATGCAGGTCAGTAACTTTCAGCAGAGTTCTGTTTTTGAAGTATAAGATCACTGGGGGAAAACCTGCTCCAAAGTACATTCTTGTTGTTGACTGAAGGCCGTTTCTTATGGTTGTAGGACTGAGGTTCCTGGCTGCTGGCTGGCTGTCTGCCAAGGGTGACTCCCAGTTTTTAGAGACTGCTCTCAGGTCCTGTGCGTGTAGCCCCCTCCACTTTCAGGGCAGCAGCAGCCCATTAAGTTCCTCCTCATGCTTCGAGTGTCCTCACATTTCTCCAAACAGAAGCCCTCCTTTTATGGGGAATCATATGATTAGATTAGGCCCACCTGGATAGTCTCCTTTTTGATTAGCCGAAACTCATAAATAACCCAAATTATTTATTAGGATAATAAATTATTTATTAGGATATTTTACTAGGATATTTATTATTAGGATAGTAAATTATTTATGAGGATCTTGATAAATAACCCTAATTACGTTTGCAAAAGTCCCTGATGCCATATAACCTAACATAACCACAGGAGTCATAGCTCATCAGATTCACAGGTTCTGCCCACACTCAAGGTGTGTGTGTGTGATTAAGCAAGGGTGAAGTGTCACTGGGTCTTAGAATTCTGCCTACCATGATGTTCATGCAATTAGATCTAACTAAAAAATTATTGCCACAGATTGGCTCTGTTTTGATATACGTCTGTCGCTAAAGTACCTTCTCTCCTCTGCTATAGATGATCTGGATGTCGCCTACCAAAAGCTGAGTAAGCTCATTAGAGAATACCTCGGATTTTCTGAGGTAACTGCCAAGAGTTTGGTTCCAACCACAGGTACGGTCCTGTCCCTTTCGTGCCAGAACTTATTTTGTGTTGAAAGGAGAACAAATCTATGGGTTGTTATTTGAGGACTCATCAACCAGGCTAATGCTAGTTCTTTTTTTTTTTAAAAAGAAACAAAATTTATTTGTATATTTGGCTGTGCCAGATCTTATCTGTGGCATGCAGGATCTTTAGTTGTGGCATGCACACTCTTGGTTGTCACATGTGGGATCTGGTTCGCCGACCAGTGATCAGACCTGGGCCCCCTGCATTGGGAGCACAGAGTCTTAGACACTGGACCACCAGGGAAGTCCTCTAAAGCTGGTTCTTACTCTGTAATCCCTGTCCTTCCTCTGGTGTTACTCTCCCCACAAGCAAGCTGTGTGAATCAGCCCCTCTGGATGTGTCCGTCTGTTTGTCAAGGTGACCATAATGGATCTCAGAGGACTGTCCTTTGAGGATGTGCTGGGCAGTACCTTGCAGGCTGGTACTAGTAGATACGGGTCAGTCCCACGGTTCAGAACTCAGCCTTCTGGCAGTTTGGCTCCTTAGGGGCAGGGGTGGTGTTCTGCCTGACAGCATTGTTCAGTCCAAGAGATTCTTTCCCTCTTTGTTTGCGCTGCTCTGGTCCTCAAAATGTGGCCCTCCAGAGTATAATAGAAGAGGATGTGAGCCTGGTCCTGGCCCAGCTGCCCCCTGGGACAGGCTGCTTAGCTGTTCTGAGCTTCAGTTTGCCCTCTTGTTAGATGGAGTTAATGCTCCCCACCTGCCTCACAAATCATGTGCAGCAAATAAAATGGGATATGTGAGTGCCTCTCCTTGGAATCTAGGAATTCTAAAGCCCTAACTTAGAATTTCAGTACATGAGTATTTTGAGACGTCGTTAACAGTTTTCCCCCAGGTCCAGCTTGTACCCATTAGGATAGCTACCATGAAAAAAAAAAAAAAAAGAAAGTGTACTGGCAAGGATGTGGAGAAATTAGAAATGTGAAATGGTGTAGCTGCTACGGAAAACAGTATGGTGGTTCCTCAGACAAGTTAAAAATAGGAACACCATCTGATCCAGTGATCCCACTGCTGGGTATATACCCAAAAGAGCTGAAAGCAAGGTCTTGCACAGATGTCTTTACATGTTCACAGCAGCATTATTCACAATAGCCAAAAAGTGGAGGTGACCCAAGCATTCATTGGTGGATGAATGCATAAACAAAATATGGTTTGTACATACAACAGAATATGATTCAGCCTAAAAAGGAAGGAAATTCTGACACCTGCTACAGCACGGATAAACCTTGAGAACATTCTGCTAAGTTAAATAAGCCAGCCACAAAAACACATATACTGCATGATTCCAATTATATGAGGTACCCAGACTAGACAAATCATAGAGACAGAAAGAAGGAGGGTGGTTGCCAGGGGCTGGGAGAGAGAGAGGAACAGAATGTTGTTTAACGGTGTCAGAGTTTCAGTTTTGCAAGATGGAAAGAGTTCTGAGGATTGGCTGGAGAATGGTGTGGGTGTGCTTAATGCTATTGGACCATCCATTTAAAAATGGTGAAGATGGCAAATTTTAGGTTACATGTATTTTGCTATCATCATCATCATCATCATCATCATCATCATCAAAGAATGTCCTCATGAAAGAAGTTCTTCGATGGACTGACCTGCATTCGTGCTTGTGCACGCTAAGGCGGTCAGTCGTGTGGTTCAGCCTTTGTGACCCTGCCCAGTAGGATCTTGCTGGCCGGGTTGTGTCCTGGACAGCCAGCAGCAGGTCAGGTCAGTTTTTGCCAAAGTTCAAACTGACTGTGTTGTTTTGCAACTCTGCACACTTTGTCGAGGTGAGGTGCCCTTGGAATCCTGGAATGAGATTGGTGGGAAAATGGTAGCACCCAACATATAATGATCAGCGTTTTCCTCCCGGGTGTGTCTCATAGGAGACAAGTGATAGAAAATACCAGAAGAAAGTGCACGCTGTGAAAGCGGGCACCCCTGGAGGAGGGAAGGTTTCACTCAGTTCGTGGAGGGGCACGTCCAGTGAGGGGTGGGCAGTGTTCACCCTGCCTGGCTGCCTCCTTGCATCAGGCTCTGTTCTTTAGAAAGCTTCGCCTATCCAGTTGTACAGTATATCTCATGAGGCTTCCATGGAAGCTCCATGTAAGTTTCTCTTGAGGAAATATGGCTCCCTTTGCTTTAAATCTTCGCTAGCCAGCCCAGCAACCTCTGATGTTTAATTTGGTCCCCTGCATGGACCTGTCCCTGTGGGGCTGTCCCCTAGGTGAGAGCACCCTGCCCCATCCCTGCACCAGGCCCATCTCCCATTGTAAATTAATAAGTTGATGTCTCTGGCTTTTAAATCAGCCCCTCGTGGGTTGGGAGAACCATGAGTCAGCCCCGTGAGCCTGAGCAGTTCCGAGCAGCGGAGACCCAGAAGCACCGAGGGCGCCTCTAAACTGCGAGTGCCGAGCAGGACTTAGCACCCAGGGCGATGGGGTGTGGGGTGTGGCCACCCCCCGGCCCCCCACCAGCACAGCTCGTCTCACTCTGCAGCCATCAGGAACACTGACTGGTGATTGCAATGTGCCATTTGGCAAGTTAATAGACCAGATAATGTGTGCATAAGGAAATAGACTTCTGTTTTAAACGGTTTTATGAAACTCCATTTGTTTGGACTAATTATGTTAGACCTGTCTGATTTAATGAAAAGCATGACTTATGGAATTTGGAAAAGTGTTCTCACTCTCTGATACATTTAATACCTGAAATCGGGCGGTCCAGTTATTGACTAATAGAGTCCCAGCTTTTAATAGTAGATGGGAGGGTTTGTACTTACTGTATCAAATCATTGGCCTTCATAGACCCCGGTTTTTCTGACAAGCTTACTATTTGGAAAATCATGTATTTTCTTTAGAAGCCAAACACTCTATATGATTTATGCAGTTCGTCTGCGGAAGAAGGTATATTTTTCAGCTGATGGTTTAAGGATAAATTTGCACATAAAGTGATTTTGTGGAGGCCAGATATTATTCAAGTATTTAAAAATTCTAATTAACACAGTCCTCATTAAGAAGCTTATACATTGTCTCTAGTGGCCCGAGAGTGGAGCCAGCGGCCCCCTGAGTCTCCCGGCAGCGAGGTGCGTGCCAGGGAGCGTGGAGCGGATGGTAACGGGTTCACTGCGGGAGAGCAAGGCCTCGCCATAATCACCTTAAGATGAACCTCGTGACTCCCTGAGAAGGGTCCAGAGTGTCAGAAGGGTCACTGCCACAGGTTCAGCTGGCTCACAATTCTCGGCCTCCCTTCTGAGCTGGGTCACCCTGAGTTAAAGTTCTGTGGTTTAGGTATATCTATATAAAGACTTTCCTTACTTTCATGCATGCAAATGGAATCCCGAAAAGCAAAACTCCATAATTTTAGTATGGTGGAATCACTTTCATGTATAATTAAGCTGTCAAAGGTAAGAAATTGAAATTTAAAATATTTAAGATTCTATGAAGCCAATTTTGCCTTAGCAATTAAAAAATTGGACTGGAAAGAGGCAACCTCAGTTTTGCATTCAAACTTTCACCAATAATCATTAATTTGATTAGTACTCCCATTTCTAAGAAGCAAAACCCAAAACAACTATATATAATATTCTGGAACACATTAAAATCTGTTCTTCCAGAGCTGAGGTTTTCCGCAATGGGCCTGAACTGTCCATCTGTACGGTCAGCTTCACTGTGCACTGCAGACAAAAATCTGATGGCCAGTGGTGTTTTCATAGAAGCAGTGATCCTGTGTCAATGCAAACGGAAAATGATTGCCAAACATTTGAATTGCTAATACATAGCTTTATCTTTAGTAATTTCATGTTACTGATTTGTACTTGAGAATGCAATTTTAAATTCTACACTTAATGATGTGAGAGTGGAATGAAGTAAAGAAAGTAAGTCCAATTTTTATCAGTTCTGACTATAGCAACCCATCAGCCTGGACCCACAAGTGCAAACCTTCACTGGAGGAGAGACTAATTCAATTTTCATTTAATGAGTGTAAATATAAAATAATAACTTTGGGCACAGAGTAATTCTAAACCCTCAAGTTCTTTAGTTGTTCCGTCTCTCCATCATGTCCAACTCTTCCCCACCCCATGGACTGCAGCACACTAGCCTTCCCTGTCCTTCGCTATTTCCTGGAGTTTGCTCAAAGGCATGTCCATTGAGTTGATGATGCTATCCTATATCAATTAAGGTACAGAATTGCCTCCCCCCCACACAACAATACAGGTAATATTCATTTCTAAACCAGGGAGGTTAAAAAAAAAATCCTGAGTAAACAATATAATGTGTATAAAATAAGGGAAAACTCACTATATTTACAACCCAGTATATGTGGTTTGTTTTGTCTCTTTACAAGTGATTTCTGGAATTGTCAGTACTTCCAGTAAAGCTTTTAAAAAGCTCATCCAACCACCACCCTGAGTTCTCACTACAGAGATCATAAAACAACATTTTATTTGAAAATCATTATTCAGAATTCTGACTAATGATAGAGAAAAATGATGATGGCGCTGATGAGTCTAGCAAGGGGAAAACTGAGCAATTTACTAGTCCATAAAGTGGTGCCTTTATCTCTAATGAGGGGCCTGGTATCATTTGCCAAGTTATATGAATGGTTAAATTGTGAAAGTGGGGCGGAAAAATCCTTGTGTATCTGATTATTGGAAATCAGGAGGGCTTAAAGAACTTTCAGCATTGGATTTCACCATTCTTAGAATTTTCTGTTTTTTAAAATACTTTTTATTGTGGTTAAGACATGAATTTGCCATTTTAACCATTTTAAGTGTACGCCTTAAAGGTATCATTTATATTCACAATGTTGCAAACCATAACTACTACCTATTTTAAGTATTTTTCATCACCCTAAACAGAAACTTTATACCTGTTCAACAATAACCAACACCCTACCTCTGGGCCCTGGTAACCTCTAATCTACTTTCTGTCTCTATGAACCTACCTATTCTAGATATA